GGTTAGTTGTGCTCTTTAAAAAGAACCATTTCTGAAATAATGGAAAATCAGATTGCTGGGGTTCAACAAAAGTACCAGATAAGTACAGTCAGAAGGTGTAGGCTGATTATAGCTTAAGAAACTGAAATGAAAAGGGAGAAAAACAGAGGAGGGCTGTGGCAACAAGGGAGACAGAGTCTGCTACAGTTAACAGGAAGAGGATGAGGAATGGAGATTAACTGAGGAAGTAAGGGCCTAGAATCGGAGATAAAATGGGGTTATGAGATTGTAAGTTCTGTGTCTCCATGCCAAAACACTACACAAAAGTTAATAACTTGATGACTAATTGTTGTTGTTGTTAAGTTCCATTGTGTAATTTCTGACTCATACAGACCCTGTATAGGGTTTCCGAGGCTACACATCTTTGCAGGAGAAGAGTCTTAACCATCTTCCACAGATGGGCTTGAACTGCCAGCCTTGTTATTCACAGTTCAGTGCTTATTCCACACAGTGACCATGCTTCCAAGGTGACTAATAATAATAATACAGAAATATAAGTGCTATTGTTAGCTACTGTCAAGTTGACACAACAGAAACATGGCATGATCCTGCCTCCTCTTCAAAATCACTTGTTGTTGTTGTTAAGTGCCGTGGAGTCGGTTCTGACTCATAGTTACCCTGTACAGGGTTTCCGAGGCTATAAATCTTTACGGGAACAGAAAGCCTCTTCTTTCTCCGGAGGAACAGCTGGAAGTTTCGAACTGCTGATCTTGCGGTTCACAGCCCGACTTGTAACCACTACGCTACCAGAGCTCCTTCAAAATCACTAGTGATTGATAAATAATGGGCTCTTATAGGGGCTGTGTTATTGTTGTTAGGCGCTGTCTAGTCAGTTCCAACTCATCGTGACCCTATGCACAGCAAAACAAGGCATTGCCTGGTCCAGCGCCATCCTCAAAATTGCTGTTACCTTTGCTGCTGCCACTGTGTCAATCCATCTCATTAGGAGTCTTCCTCTTTTTTAATGAACCTTCACTTTACCAAGCATGATGTCCTTCTTCAGGAACTGGTCCCTCCTGATGTTCAAAGAATGAGAGACAAAGTCTCACCATCCTGACTTCTAAAGCATTTTGACTGTACTTCTTCCAAGACAGATCTGTTTATTCCATGTACTTTTAATATTCTTCTCCAACACCATAATTCAAATGCATTAAATTTTCTATGGTCTTTCTTATTCATTGTCCAACTTTCACATGCATATGAGGTGACTGAAAATATTATGATCTGAGTTAGGCACACCTTAGTCCTCAAACTAATGTCTTTGATCTTGAACACTTTAAATAGGTCTTTCGCAGCAGATTTGCCTAATACAATATATCATCTGATTTCTTGACTGCTACTCCCATGAGTGTTGATTGTAGATTTTCAACAACTTCAAATTTTTTCTCCATTTATCATAGTGCTACTTACTGGTCTAGCTATGAGGATTTTGGTTTTCTTTACACTGACATACAATCCATACTGAAAGGCATGGTATCTGATCTTCATCAGTATTTTAAGTCTTCTTTACATCCAGCTAACAAGGTTGTATCATCTCCTTATCACAGGCTGTTAATGACTCTTCCTCCAATCCTGATGACACATTCTCTTAATATAATCCAGTTTCTCAGATTATTTGCTCAGCATACAGGTTGCATAAGTATGGTGAAAGGATATAATCCTGGTACACATCTTTCTTGATTTTAAACCACTCAGGATCCCTTTGATTTATTCAAAATAATGTTTCTTGGTCTAAGCACAGGTTCCATAAGAGCACAGCTAAGTGTTCTGGAAAAAAACATTCTTTGCAGCGTTATACAGTTTATCATGATCCACAAAGTCAAAAGTCTTTGTAAAGTCAGTAAAACACAAGTAAGCATCTTTCTTGTATTCTCTGTTTTCAACCAGCATCCATATGATGACAGCAATGATATCCCTAGTTCCACATCCTCTTCTGAATCTGGCTTGGATTTCTGGGAGTTCCTAACAGCTAGAGGCAGTGATGATGAAATTGAAAAATTCTACCAACTTTCAATCTGAAATTAATCAAATATACAGTCAAGAAACATTGATAGTTATTGGTGACTGAAATGTGAAAGTTGAAAATAAAGAGGAAAGATCAGTTGTTGGAAAATACAGCCTTGGTATTAGAAATGATACTAGAGATTACATGATACAATTTTGAAAGAACAATGACCAATCATTGGAGAAGGACATCATACTTCCTAAAATGGAGGGTCAGGAAAAATGAGAAAGACTCCCACAGAGCTGGACTGACACAATGGCACAATCATGGGCTCAAAAGTATCACTAGTGAGGATGGCAGAGGACTGAGCATTATTGTTTTCTTCTGCTGCCCAAAGTCTCACTTTCTCTAAGGGAGTGGCTTGTGGACTGAGACCCTAGACCTTGTGGTTTGCAGGCCAATTCTAATCCTACAGAACCACAGTGCTACCAATTAAGACAGGTACCAGCTGACAATCATGCCATGCATGTGATGTTAACTGCATCTAGATGGTCAAAGAAGGTAGCCACTATTCCAGATTTGATTGAACTTTTCCACTAAAATGCCTTCTTCCTGGTATGGCACTAAAGGATAAGTACTGGGCTACCAAGTGCAAGGTGGTGGTTCAAACCCACCAGCTGCTTCTAAGAATCCTAGGGTTTCTATGATTGGAAACCAACATGATACTACTCAACAACAGAAACAACTACCTAAAGCAACTCAACAGATTTCCAAGAGGATTCTCCTCTCCCCCACTGCACATTAAAAGTACTAAGCAGTCTTTCAAAGTGCAAATATCTTCAGGAAGAGCCGAAACATTTTTACTGTAGTGGAAGGATGGTGGAAAGTTTGGATTTTTTTCTTGCAATCATTAAAACAACTGCCTGCCTTACTTTCTGATAAAATCACAAAAGTATATAAGCACTTTAAATACTGTCCATGTACACAAAGCACTTTATACATTTTACAAATAAAAAGGCTCCTTACACAAAAAATTCAAAAGCAAGTTAATTAGCAAGGCCCTGTTTGAATTGAAGCAAGAGTGAATTTTTTAAAAAGCCATATGAAATATGGTGGAAAGAGCTTGTTAAAATTATGCTAAGTTTCATCGTTGCTGTTGAGTTGGTTCCGACTCATAGTGACCCTGTATAAGGGTTTCTGAGGAGCAGCTTGTGAGTTTGAACCGCTGACCTTGTGGTCCAGTGCTTATCCTACAGAGCCATACCAGGACTCCAAGCTGGGTATAAACATATTATTATTAGCATTGTGGAAGGAAGAAGTGCAAGTTTGAAATACATTGTGCAAAGTGAATGTGGAAGAAGAGACTGCAAAAAAAGACAGTACAGTGCATTAGCTGGGGACAAATGAGAAACGTTGAGTGCTGTGAGAATAACTTTCAAAATTTTGATAAGGTCTAAGAGTCCTAAGGAGCTCTGGTAGCGTAGTGGTTACGAATCGGGCTGCGAACCTTAAGGTCAGCGGTTCGAAACTACCAGCTGCTCCGAGGGAGAAAGATGAGGCTTTCTACTCCCGTAAAGATTTACACCCTCGGAAACCCTGTACAGGGTCGCTATGGGTCGGACCCGACTCGATGGCACTTAACAACAACAACAACAACTACAACAACAACAACAACAACGACTCCTAGTTTAGCGCTGTAGAACAAGCACTGGACTTTCACTCCTTGGAAACCTTATGCAGGTCGCTATGAGTCAGAACCAACTCGATGGCAATTAACAACACAACAACAAAAGTCTTTAGTAGATGATCTGAGGGCAAAACTATCTGTAATTTTGTCAGTGCTATGCTAGGACCGTAAGGATTTACACCCTCGGAAACCCTGTACAGGGTCGCTATGGGTCGGCTCCGACTCGAAGGCACTTAACAACAACAACAATGCCAGGACCTGATAGAACTTAACTCCACCCTATTGTAACTGCTCTAATTGTGTCTTCTTAACTTTCCCACAGTTGTTGTTAAGTGCCATCAAGTCGGTTCCGACCCATAGCGACCCTGTATAGGGTTTTCGAGGAGCAACTGGTGAGCTTGAACCGACAACCTTGCAATTCAAACGGCTTTGCAGTCTGGTGCATTAACCCACAGTGCCACACCAAATTTTGGTTAAATGTGTCAATCCTTTTTACTGGAGATATCAACTTCTGAAACATATTTTTTGAAGTTCAGCGCGGTATCTATGCACCCCAAGTAGGGGAATCATCTTAAAGTCTCGATTTAAGGGCGCAGTCCAGAACCCAGGGGCTCACAAGATGTACAAGCAAGAGATGGGGAGGGGGGAACCTTAAATCAACCCGTGCTTACAGTTCAGCTAAGAGGTGGAAGACTGCCCTTGTCTCTCTAGTCCTACCCACACCACTCCCACCGTCGCCCTGCTCTGCATGTCGCTACCTCCTCTTCCCGCGTCCACGGCGGAGCTAAATTTTTAAGCATGCGCAATGACAGGAGTTGGGCAGCCCACGAGTCCGGGAGTCAGTTGTGCTTCAACCGGCGCCGGGACTCAGCCAATCAGGAGGCGTCTTATTGCCCGAGAGCCCCGCCGCCGAAAAGGGGAAATATGGTGACAGGCAAGGGTCATGAAGTGTAACCACTCTTGAACTATCCAGGCCCAGGAGGGGTTGCGACGTCCCGTTCCCCCGCGGCCGCGAGCAGCTGGCACCTCCTCCTCGCTGGGCCTGGGTTGGGCGCGGCAAAACCGGGATCCGCCACCGCCCCTCGCCGGAGACCCGCCCATGAGGCTGGGGGGCGGAGGCCCGGGTCGAGGCGGCAGGTTCGCGTCTCAGGTGGTGGCGGGTGGCCGGGGGAGGTGAGGCGGCGGAGGCGGCGGCGGCGTCTGTCCCGGGCGCGGTGATTGGCCGTCGCTGGCGGGCCGTGGCCTGAGGGTGAGCGGGGCAGTTTGGAGAAGTCGCCGGGGCGCGGAGGAGGAAGACAGAGGACGAGGACGCGAGTGCGGACGTGGAAGATGCTGCTGTCCCTGGTGCTCCACACGTACTCGATGCGCTACGTGCTGCCGGCCACCGTGCTCCTGGGCACGGCTCCCACCTACGTCCTGGCCTGGGGGGCCTGGAGGCTGCTCTCCTGCTTCCTGCCCGCCCGCTTCTACCAGGCTGTGGACGACCGGCTCTATTGCATCTACCAGAGCATGGTGCTCTTCTTCTTCGAGAACTACACCGGGGTGCAGGTGAGGCTGGTCCCGCCCTGCGACTCCGCTCCGCCGCACCTGCTTTCACTTCTCTCCTCCTGACGTCCCTGCGGTGTCACCGGGCGGGTTTTCCAACTTCAAATCAGCCAGCCCCGCTCCCCACTGGGCTTTAAGATTGTTCTGTCTTGTCTGGCAGATCCATCCCCCACCCCCACCCCCCAACACGTGCTATCACATAGCCTTCTGCTGTGGGACATGTTTCACGTTCATTCTTAAAGCTTTGATTCAGTGCTTCACCGATGCGTCTTCCACGATGACTGGGAAGTTGTAACATTTCTGAGAATCCACTTGTAGATCGAGTTCCTTTTACCCCAGCCTTGAGATCTTACCTGTTTAGAGAACGAGCAGATGAACATTTAAGTAGGGCAAGCATTTGACCATTTTTGGGATTTTGCCCAAGGAGATGGTAATTCTGGAACATGAGATGTTGGAATCTAAAAAGTGTACTTTTAAGACTGTTCTTAGAAGACCTTTTGAAACGTACACTTTTTGAGCGAGAAGCACCACTTTGTTTTGCATTCTTTCCAGGATAATTGTAAACTAGGTGAGGAAATTAATACATTTGTTACAAGAGAAAGTTTAATGTAGATACATTTCTTGCCAACTTTGACAAGGCTTACTTTTAGATATGTGGGTAATCTTTTGTGTGAATACTGTTTCTTTCTGTCTTTCTAGAGATTAAGTTTGTAGTTTGAGCTTTAAAAAGTTGAGACAATAAAAGTTACAAGCCGTCAACATTATTTAGCTATTTCCTAGTCTGAACAAAAGGAGATTCCTTCTTGGTTATTTTCCTAATATCCTTCTTTGTGTGTAGGGGGCGTGGATAGGGCGAGGGAAGGAGGCTGGGAAGGTATTGTTCTGCATTTTTGCCTGTCTTAAAAACTTTTTCAGTAGAGCAGTCATTTCCCCCTGTTGTCAACCAGCTACTGTATTGAATTTGCAATGATCCTGTTGCTCATCCCTAATGACTGAATTTGCCAAAGTTGGAGGTTGTGTGAAAGAAGGGGTTTGGTGGTGCTTGGAGGTTATGTGCTGTGGAGTTGGTGCCAACCCATAGCATAAATCTTTATGGGAGCCGAAAGCCTCAACTTACCAGCGGAATTTCCCACTGGTAGTTTCGAACTACTGACCTTGAGGTTAGTGACCACTACTCTACCAGAGCTCCTTAAGAAGGGGCATGTTGTTGTTTAGTGCCACCGAGTAGATTCTGACCCATAACGGCACTGTATAGGGTTTCCGAGGAGCTGCTGGTGAGCTTAAACCGCCGACCTTGCAGTTCAAATGGCTTTGCAGTCTGGCACATTAACCCACAGCGCCACACCAGAACTCCGAGAAGGGGAGTGGTGGTGGTAGTGGTGGTGAAGAAGGGGCATAGGAGAAACGAATTTAAACCAGTATCCATAAGTCTTTCATAGAAAGACATACTACTGTTTCAATTAGGTGTTTCTAGTAATTGACTTTAAAATGAGTCGCATTTAACACACTTAACATGTCCCCCCTTCCTAAAGGTGTCTCTAAAGCTATGGTGTTGCCATAGTTATTTAGCTTCATTGTTGCCCTAGGCCTGGTGTATATAGACTCAGAAGATATTTATAAAATTAGTCACCTCTTGAAACGAAATATTTTTGTTCAAAGAATAGTATGTTCCACGTGATATAATGCAGAATATGCCATTGAAGTTCTTGGTGTTTGGCACATTTTATTTTTTAAAAAATAATTGTAAAACTTCGATGTTTTTTGAAAGATTTCAATTTTTATTCTGTCAATTCCTGTGGCCTGTTTTTTTTGAAAATATCTTCAGTGCAGCCGTACAGGATCATATATATACGATTGAGTCTTGATCCTATATATACTACCTCTTGAAATGTCAGAGCATCTACTGTTTCTTTTTGGTAGTGACTGCATTCTTTCCATCTTCTTTTGGTGCTTTCTGCATCATTCACTATTATACCCTTGGAATCCCTTAGTTTTGCAATTTTAGACTTGAATTTTTTCTTCAGTTCTTTCAGTGTGAGCATGTTCTTCCCTTTTGGTTTTCTAAATCTAGGTCTTTTCACATTTCATTATAATATTTTGTCTTCTGACTGTAATTTTCTGTTAATCTCTTTGACTTTCTTGTTTCTTCCATTTACTTTAGCTTCTCTGTGCTGGAGAGCAAGTTTCAACTTTTTATGACATCATTTTGGCCTTTTGATTTTTTAACTGTCTTTTTAATGACCTTTTGCTTTCTTCTTCTGTGATGTGCTTTGATGTCATCCCACACTTCTTCTGGGCTTTCGTCATTAGTATCTAATGCAGAAAATTTGTTTTTGGGATGGTCACTAAATTCAGGTGGGATATATTCAAGGTCATATTTTGGCTCTTGTGTACTTCTTTTCATTCTTTTCCTTTTTTTTTTTTTTTAACTTTTTATTGTGAATTGAATGTAGGTTTATAGACAAGATCATCAACTTTACATTCAGCAGGTCATACATTTGTTTGATAATTATTATGTTTCTTCCATGCAACAACAATTATCCTGCTTCTTCCCTGTGGTTCCCACTTGCATTCCACCCACCTTCCTGTCCCTTCTCAACTCTGTCATTCGAAAACGCTTCCCTTTTGATTTTCAATGATGGACCTTTTCATGGTGAGCATACCTTGCTAGCTGTTGTCCCCACCTATAAAACTGTCCACTGCTTGGTTGAAAATTGGGCTGGGGGGTGAGTTACATTCCAAACCTGGAGCATGGTCGAGGGCCATAGTCTGTTTCTGACCACTAAACATGGTCTTTTTTTCTTTCTTAATTAATTAATTTGGAGTTCTGTTCCTCATTTTCTCCCATTCTGTCTGGGACCCTTTAATCACTATCAGGACAGTAGGTAGGGGTAGCTGGGCACCATCTAGTTCTTTTGGTCTCAGAGTCGTGGGGACTGGTGTTCACATGAACTGTTAGTCTATTGATTCCAAGCCTCTTCAATTCTTTTTTTTTTTTTTTTTCTAAGCCTTTTTTTCTTTTTATGTTTTTGTTGTAAATTGAGTGAAAGTTTTCAGGGCAGATCATCAGTTTTACAGTCAACAAATCATACACTTTGTTTCATTACAATTATTATAATCCCCTCCATGTACCATCAGTTAACCTGTTCACTTTAGCTCTTTTTTTAAAAAAAAACCAAAACACTCAGGCATATATAATAATTTACATCACTGAAGGGCACATTCTGCAAGTCTGCTTTCTGGCTGTCAGCTCTCACTCCTTCTCTTCCCATGAATCTAGCGTCCTCAGCTGCTCCCTCTCTCCATGTCCCCATCTCTGCCTCCATCTCTGGTGTCCCTACTTCTCTGGATAAGGTCCTACATTCTGCATGTGCCTTTCTCCCTTGATGGGCCTCTGTTTCTAGATTGTAAGATTAACTACTCCCCCATTTTTATTACAATACTTCTACCTTTACAGTTGTGACAGTCACAATTAGTCATGATACCGATTACTCACTATTATAGCATAAGAATCTTATCCCCATCTCTTTTCACCACACCCATCTAGACAAGATGAGAACTATTCAGTGGGGATTCTATCTTCCCCTGCACACTCTTAAACTCAACTCCCTCTTGAAAATTTGTAAGCCAGTCACTTCATGCCTTTATTGCCCCCTCATTTTAGGGTAGCCAATGTCTAAGTTGCCCATCCCTAGCTACCCTATGTACAGAGCGGATAGCATTGATACTTGATATGAAGACTCCTTTCCTCTCTGTTGGTATTTTGAGCAGAGTATAAGGAACTCTGGTAGCATAGTGGTAACGAATCAGGCTGCGAACCTTAAGGTCAACAGTTCGAAATTACCAGCTGTTCCACGGGAGAAAGATGAGGCTTTCTGCTCCTGTCAAGATTTATAGCCTCAGAAACCCTGTACAGGGTCTCTATGAGTCGGAACCGACTCCATGGCACATCACCACCACCTCCATGAGTATAGGTCAAGTTTAATCAAGTTGTAGCAATTTACCCTCGTTTTCTTTATCCTAGCTGCAAGTTTGGGTGTTCTTGTGCATCTCCCATCACTTCATATCAGCTGGATGCTTCACTCTCAGCTCTAACCCTCCTTGGCTGTGTCCTTGTCCATGGGCTCATGTGTCCCCAGGTCTCGCCACACTTTGAACCAACCACCCCTTCCTCTTCTCTCTCTCATGTCCAGGACATTGGGAGTATATGGAACATGGTCGAACTCAGCCCATTTCTTTATTGCTGCCTTTCCCCCTCTTCCATTCACGAGTAGACCAGTATGGTTGCCAGCAAGCTTTCATGCCTGCTCATGTGTTAGTCTTGAGTTTGAGTTTCAGTCTTGGCAGCAGGTTTGTTCTGAAGGGACTTGATTGCTTGCCTTGATGGCTTCCCGGCAAATAACTTTCTTATTCTTGTAGTAGCCAATCATACTACCATTTTTGGTTTTTTTCCCCCTGATGATCTTTCTTTGAAGATGTATCTTCTGTCACTCTAGCTGTTCCAGGCTGGTCTGCTTGTCCTTTCTAGTGGAAGTATCCCACCTCATAAGGTTCTGGATGGGGCTCAGGATTCTACCTAAGAGGTCCTATACACTGCAAAGGGTCCACAAAAAACGTATTTCACTGGACAAGTTCTAGCACCCCTTTTAGGTGTTCCAGTCAGTCATAGGCTAAAGACGGGCTTACAAGCTTTCTGTAATCATGTTTCCCAACATTCCTTTCTATCGCACTCAAGTGTCTATTTTACAATAGTAGGCAAGGGAAGCCAATATTCATAAGACAGTCAAGCATCTTGGTATTATTTCCTCTCTTAAAACTGTGCCTCGATCCCTGTATCACAGAGTCCTGTTGGTCCAAGTTTGAGCATGCATCATTATTCACCTCTTAGCCATTTAGCTCATGCAAACCTCTCAGTGTTCCCTTATCTACCTTGTTCTTCCACCCCAAAGCCTCTTCATTTCTTACCACTCTTCTTTCTTCTGCTCACAGAGAGCCCAGTAGCT